CTCAGTCAGTTAGGCGGCCAACTCTTAATTTTGACTCAGGTCATGATCTCAGGGTTTTGAGATTGAGCCCTGTGTCAGCCTCACGCTCAGCATGGAGTCAGCCTGAGAGTCTCTCTCTCTCTCCCCATGTCCTTCCCCCCATTCACACTTATTCTGTTTCTCTCAAATAAAATCTTTTTTAAAAATGGTTTAATATATTATTTCCATTAATATGTCAAAAGATAAAAAATCATGTCATAATTTTAATAGATTTGATTAAATCTATTTCTATTTCTATCAAAAAGCATTTGATAAAATTCAATGCCCATATCTAGTTTAAAAACAAAAATAACAAGTCTTAAAAGATTAGTAATAGGAGTATTTGTCCATTACATAACAAAGAATATTTAAAACAATATATACTGCTAATGAAGCACTAGAGATACTCACAGGGATGCCTGGGGTAGCTCAGCCAGTTGAGTGTCTGACTCTTGGTTTCAACTCAGGTCATGATCTCAGGGGTCATGGAATCAAGCCCCATGTGAAGCCCTGTGTTGGTCTCTGCACTGAGCAAGGAGTCAGCTTGAAGATGCTTTCCTTCTGCCTCTCCCCCAACTCGTGAACACACTCTCTCCCCCTCACTTTTCTTCTTTCTCTAAAATAAAATTTATTTTTAAAAAGAACAAGACAGGGGCGCCTGGGTGGCTCAGTGGGTTAAGCCTCTGCCTTCAGCTCAGGTCATGATCTCAGGGTCCTGGGATCGAGCCCCGCATTGGGCTCTCTGCTCAGCGGGGAGCCTGCTTCCCCCCTCACCTCTGCCTGCCTCTCTGCCTACTTGTGATCTCTCTGTCAAATAAATAAATAAAATCTTTAAAAAAAAAAAAAAGAACAAGACAAAAATTTTCTACTTTGTTCTAGATGTTTCAAACAATATAATGAAAAAAGTGAAAACTATTAACTATTGAAAAGGAAAAGGCATTATTTGAACATAATACAATTCTATATATATATTATATAGCTGATGTGTATGTACATACACACACACAACCTATAAGTTTCTGACTCATTTAACCAGGGATACAAAGTTAAGAGATAGCGTATGAATAGATTGGGAACAGAAGTTGAGGCATCATACATTTCCATAGTTTTCTTAGTTCTTTTTTTTCCTGTTAAGAGTAGAGAAAGAACCCAATTTCTTGCTCTGTCTCTGCTTTCTTATACTACCTTCATACCTGCATTTCAAAAGAAAGTATACCAACACTCTGTGTGCTTCTAAGAAAATATTTACATTCTCTTGGTTCTTGAAATAAACTTAGCACTAGCGAGACCACATCCTTCTCAGGGTTGGGGGAGAAAGCAGAGTCACTGACCAGGAATTCCCAAACAGTGTCCCCCTCTATTCAGCTCTGTGATGTGCTAGGAAGTTCATTTTCTGCACATATGTAAGAGAATCTGACTATTGGGAATTCGCAAAAGATCTCAGAAAGATGACCAGATTCACAATGAATATGTAAAATAGTTTTCTTTATGCTATCAATAATTATTTAGAAGATAAAATGAAGGACAAGTCCATCTATAGTAGCAAACAAAATAAAGTTCCTAGGCCTAATCTTAGGAAGAAAAGCATGACTTTATAGGTACAAGAATGAACTTTACTGTGAAATAGCAAAGAAAACATGAATGAAAGAGACACTGCATGTTTCTGGAAAGATAAATAGTGCAAGAAATTATTTCTTTGGAAATTAACCTTTTGGGGGTTGGGGGGGGGGCACAGGGAGAGGGAGAGAGAAAATCTTAAACAGTCTCCATGCCCAGCTCAGTTTGATGCTTGGCTCAGTCTCACAACCCTGAGATCACGACTTGAGCTGAAATCAAGAATCCAACACTTAACCAACTGAGTCACCCTGGAGCCTCTGAAATCAACTTTTTGATTCAACTTTGCAAAACAGTGCTAAAGTTCACTTGGGAAAAAATGTATGAGAATAAATAAAATTAGACAACAAACAGTAAATCAGAAGGACTTGCTCCACCAGATATAAAAAGTTATCATAATATTTCTGTAAGTAAAGCAGTGTAGTACTGGCATGAAAATGACAGGTACACATTAAGATCATTAGGGAAAGGTACATTAAGATCATTAAGAAAGTTAAACAGCGCTGAAACAAAATCTTAGCATATATGATAAAAGATGCATGGAAAATAAACAGAATGTCTAAACTACCCTATGACTGAGTATGAGGAAATTGACTACCTTGGAAAAATAAAGTTATGCATAAATACAAATATTATTGATTTTCTCCTGTATTCTTTTGCAATTTTTTTTATGATCATAGAAGAAAAATTTAAATGATATTCCTAGGATGTTTCACAGAAGCTCATCCAATATAGGGATCTGAACACTGAAAAAAGCTCTCGAGGAGGTCTAACCTTTAATTCTGATTCTTCCTCTATCTAGTTGTTCTTAGGTAAGTTCTTTCATCACTGGGTCATTTCTGAAAATTCTAAAATGAGATATTTGAGGGGTTCCTGAATGGCTCGGTCAGTTAAGTATCCGACTCTTGATTTCTGTTCAGGTCATGATCTCAGGGTTGTGAGATCAAGCCCCACATCGGGCTCCATGCTGAGAGTGGAGCTTAAGATTCTCTCTCTCTCCCTCCCACCACCCCTCTCGAAAAATAAAATAAAATAAAAAATAAAATGAAATGAGAGATTTGAATTATTTTCTCCATTTTCCCATCCAAGTCTTAAATTCTATGTTCTGAACTATGTTATCAAACCTAATTACCATGCGGAACAACATCTACTTGGGGGATAGTAGCATGAAATCTGGAGTCACATTGTTTGGGTTCCAGCACTGATTTCAATACTTACTAGCTGTGTGAACTTGGGGAAAATTTTCATCCTCTTTGTATTTATTTTCTTAGCTAAAAATAAACTGAGGGTATTGATAGTACTTCATAGGCTTATATTGAGAAAGAAAGCAATTCATGTAAGTACATGAAACAATGCCTGGCATATACATGCTCAATAAAATATTTTTTTCAATCTGAGATGCCAGGAGCTTAATTCTCCACCACCCATCTATCCACTCAGGCCCACCAAAACTGAGGCCTTCCTGACTCTTTTGAAGGAGATTCTGATAGGCATTGGTAGGAGAGAGATTCTGTGGTTAGGCAAAATTTCTCCAGATGATTCTGATCCTCTGCCTTTTCCTTTTACTCCCAATTCTAAAGAAACACCATCAAGGTCTTTAAAATGGAAAAACAGGGGCACCTGTGTGATTCAGTGGATTAAAGCATCTGCTTTTGGCTCAGGTCATGATCCCAGGGTCCTGAGATCGAGCCCCGCATCGGGCTCTGTGCTCAGCAGGGAAACTGCTTACCCCTCTCTCTGTCTCTGCCTGCCTCTCTGCCTACTTGTGATCTCTGTCTGCCAAATAAATAAAATCTTTTTATAAAATAAAATAAAATAAAATAGAACAACAGTTCCCAAACTCTACAACAGGTGAGTAAGGTTGATCACCAGCACATTCAAAGACTGATAAAATCAGTGTGATAAAAAAATTATATTTCAATTTATTTGATAGTTACACTTAGCAGCACAGGGGATGAATTTCATGTTTTATTCCCCTCAACATGTTTGTTAATATTCCCAGAACATTTTTACCTTAATATAGTTTGGGAAGTGCTAGAGAGTTTACATGCAGTTTAACACTCACAAATTAAATCATGTACCAATACTATATTATATCCAGAGGTTGATGAAAATCTAACCTAATCTAAATTGAATGCTAATTGAAGTATTATTTCATTTTCCAACTACATTCTACTGATGTAAAAAGAAATACTCATAAATGGCTGTGATCAGTTCTTTTGTAATTTACTATTGATCACAGGCACTCTAAAGTCTAAGGGCCATGGAACAAATTGTCTGCTATTGGCTATTGTTATTTAATTTTATTACTGCTTTATTTTGGCCACATTAGTACTATAATAACATGCTTTCTTTAAAAAAAGATTGCATACTAAATATTTTTCCTGAAACTTAGAGTTATACAGCCCTTTTAGTAGAAAATATAAAGAAAAACATTTTATATTAAAATTCATCTTTGTTTTATTTCAGTGAAAGCAACGTCAAAATTCACTCATAAATGCTAACATAGGTCTTATTCTGCTTAAATTTCTCACCAAGCATCATCCATTTTTCCTGAAAAGCTCAGGTTGTCCCTAATATTTTTATAGGTGCCCAGGCCAGAGCAAATGTTCTGTAGTGACAATTTGGATCAAGGAAGAGGTTGTATTTGATAGAGAATATTTCTACAGCCATAGTAAACCTTGACCCAAGAGCAATGGGAAATAGGGACTTTCTCTCTTACTATTGCATGTCCCATCACAACAGATGATTCCATGGATTACAATGAGTTAGTGGGAAGGTAGTCTGATGTATTTGGTATGAGAAAGAGAAGACAGAACTTTTCTAAACTGATATGGCAAATCCTAAATCTGGAGCAGCAGAAAGGGAAATGGAATTTTTATAGCCATTGGGATTCTGGGTAGGGTAGTAATTTCTTGGGCAATTTCATATGTACCATGTTTCAGAGAGAAGGAAAGACAGGAGTTTCAGGTACATATTGAACAATTTACATATAAAAGTATTCTCTCTTGCTCTCTCACTGTAATTAAGTTGATAATTAAACTTAAGTCCACAGGGATGATTTGAGGTTTTTTTTTTTTTTTTTTGCAACGTATCTCTTAATATTTTCTGAATAGTTTTCCCTTTATAAGTTTGGAAACTGAAGATTATTTGAAATAACAACTTCAAATTTTGGATTAGAAGCAAGTAAATCTGGAAAATGGATATTTGCTCAGTGACCAAGACAAGTTACCGAGGCGGCTATAAAATTAGGATAATGAAGTGAATTCTCCTACTCATAGTATTAATTTCTTAGAGAAAGGAACCCATTTTATTCAGGGAATTGTTTTATCTACTATATTCTAATATGTATTTAAAATTAATTTCAGATTCTTTTAGTGACCACTATACTCACTTTGAAAGAGTTGTGAAGGCTCTTCTGATCAATGCTTTAGATGAATCTTTTCTGGGAACATTGTATGGTAAGTTAATACAAATGGAACAATTAGAGTTTTTTTTTTCTTTTTCCAATTTTTTAACACCCTACTAATGTAATATAAGATAAGATATATACTTAAGCAAAACCAAGAGACCCATTTTAAGGCCCTCTAATTTTTCCCCCTAGGATCAGCTACACTAGAAGCCCATTCACATCAAAAACTTTTTACTGTTTATTATTTATGATATGTGGAAAGTACAAAAGAAATATGTCATGTTCCCCTGCCTTTAGAGAGTATACAGTGAATATCAGGATATAGGACATAGACTGAAAACAGCAGAGTAGTTCAATAGCCTTGTGTTATCCCAGACTCTCTAAGCTCATTGAATTTCACCAACAGTTATACGCTGTTTTATGCTTTTGTGCCTTTGCTCATGCTGTTCCCTCTTTAAAATGAATGTAAAATTGTTTTCACTGTGAAAGCTACCATGACCCACTCAAGTAATATTTTTACACCCTCATTTGTGCTCTCAGTGTCCTGGTGGTACTGCTGTATATACACTTTGCATACTGCATTGAAAATATATTTTTGCCTTCCTCCCTCCTAAGAGTACAAGAAGAACCATACCTTAGATATACACTTATCTCTTGCATCTAGCACCGAATCTGGAAGTTAATAAAGACTGAAAATATGTTGTATTGAATATCTACCTAATTGCCTAAGTGAGATTTCGTTCATATTTTATTGAACAAGTATTTATTGAGTGCCTAAGGGCATTTATTTGAGGACTGGGGATATGCAATGACTATGACATGCAAGATACCTGCCCTCATGTTGCTTAAAGTCTAGTGGAAGAGACAGACCATGAATGAGTAAACAAATATATAACATAATTTTAACTAGTGATTAGTTCTTGGGAAAAAAAAAAAAACAATGGTAGGTTAAGGAGACCCAAGTGTTATAAAGATAAGGAAGGTATCTGTTAGATTGGTCAAAGAAGGTCTCTCAAGAGGTGACTTTTAAATGAATGAATCAGGGGAAAAGTAATGCATAGATTTATCTGAGAACACAGTAACTGCAAAGACACTTAGGTAAAAGTAAGTTTGGTGCGATAGATGAATGCTAAAGAAGTGGAGTATATATCCAAGGGAATACTACCCAGCCATAAAAAAGAATGAAATCTTGCCATTTGCAACAACATGGATGGATCAACAGGGTATAATTCTAAGTGAAGTCAATCAGAGAAAGACACATACTGTCTGATCTTACTTGCATGTGGAATTTAAGAAACAAAACAAATGAACAAAGGAAAAAGAAACAAACAAACAGACTCTTAACTATAGAGAGCAAACAGGTGGTTACCAGTGAGGAAGTTGGTGGGTAGATAAGTGAAACAGGTGGAGGGAATTAAAAGGTACACTTACTGTAATGTGCACTGATTAGTGCGTAGAACTGTTGAATTACTATTTTGTACACTTGAAACTAATATAACACTATATGTTAATTTTACTGGAATTAAAAGAAAATAAGTTTGATGTATTTAAGGAACAAGTAGAAGGTCTCTATGGTTTTTTTTCTTTCCCTAGTGCTCTGATGGAATGTTTTTTTCTTCATAAATTTCAAATGCCTCTAACCAATTAACCAAGTATCTTTCTAAAACTATGGGAAGAAATCCTTATGTATTTAATTACTTAAATATTTCCTAATAATGTTTCTCAACCTTGGCACTATTGTATTTAAGGCTGGATAATTCATTGGTGTGATGTTTTAGATAGATAGATAGATGATAGATAGATAGATATTTCCAAAGGGCTAAGTGATTATTTGTTGTTGTCATTGTTGTTGTTCCCCTGAACAGATGGTACCAGACAAAAATCGTATGCACAAGATATGTTGACATCTCTCCATTATTTGGATAACCGCTTTGTTCAGCCTCGTCTAGAGAGTTTAGCTTCTAGAAGTCGTTGGAAAGAGCAATATAAGGTATATGGTTTAAATTGGTTTTACATTTCCGGCTGAGGGGGTTGGGAGTGGCAGACCTATCAGGATTTAAATATCCAGTTATTAAACTGAATATTGACTGAACACTAACTGAATAATCTTCTAAATTATTGGCATTTTTCTTTGTTAAATAATCAGCTTGTTTCTCACCTTTTCTAAAGGCTGCTATTGTTTTAATTATTATAGTACTTATTATATGTATCTGGTAGTTAGGTAGTTCTAAATAATGAATAACTTTAGAACATCTCCAGAGCTTAGCCCATCTATTAAAGTGAAGTTTTTCTCACAGAATATTAATTATTGTTTCAGAAAAGAGTTCCACTGCTAAAGAAGTTTGAGAAACAGTGGGTTTAACTTAAGCTTAACTGAAGGACTTTTCAAGGAACATTAATATGTGAATTATACTCTAAATCTTCAAGAGGGTGATGTAGAATGCAATACTTTCCAAATTTGTATTTTCCTTTGAGGCTGCTTTTCATGAGCTACCTTTTATCACCTCCTAGAATAATGGATTTCCATAATATAATTTGGGAAACAGTGGCCTAGGTTGTCTTTGACATCCTTCTTGACTTTAAGGTTTTGTAATTATTTGTAATTAGGATTTTATAATTTTACCAATTTCAAGAAAGCATCTTTTTAATATAAATTATTATATTCCATGTTATCTCATAGATTTTTATTTTATGATCTCCAATAGTAGAGGCTATCTGATATAATTTTTAAGGGTTTTTTCCTTAATCTCCCTACTTCTAATATTCTATCTTCTAATGATTCACAAGAGGGGGAAAAAATGCAAGGTAACAAAAGTTCAAGTTCCTAACAGTCCTTCTAGCACTTAAATCATTAGCTGATCTACCTCATTTATGTCAGGAGATTTGGCTCATCCAAGGCCTATTCAGTCTTGAGTTACCTGATAAATTAGCCACAGATGGTTTAGGTTTAAGGGACAGTTATGGGGTTACAGAAATAGAAGACTTCAGTTTGGAGGATGGCTGAGTTTAGGGTCACCATATATATCTTTTTGACTTTGCATGGGTTTTTAACCTTTCTAAACTCTGGTCGCTTCCTCAGATACAAAAAATATTTGCCTGCTTTAAAGGAAATATTTACTTATCTGGAAGGTAAAATACATAGCACAGTTCTTAGAACATGGTTATACCATATAGTATTTTATATACCATATAGTATTTTCTTTAATAGAAAAAAAGCACATATTTATTGATCACTTAACTTTTCCAGGTAATTTTCGTGCAATGCAAAGTATCTTATTTGATCTTCAGAGTAACCCCATGAGGAAGGCACTAATCTTTCCTTTGTTTTAGAGTTGAGAAAACTATGACTCTGAACACAAGGTTACACAGCTAGTCATTATCTAGGCCAATATTTAAACCTAGAAATCATAAGGTCGTAGTATTTCTATGACTCCAAAGCCCATGCCACTCTGCTATATTATGCTTAATTCTACCCTGGTATACTATGCTGAATTTGGATTACCTGATCCTGATAAAGTAACTGCAAGATACAAGAAAATATTAGCTTAAAAATTTAGAGACATGGGAAATTCAATATGATCTTGGTCAGAAGTAGCTAAGTTATGCTGCAAAAAATAAGTTATGTGACAGATCAGCAATGAAAATCTTAACAGCTTAACCCAACAAAGCTTATTTTTCAGTTATATTTTATGTCGGTGTAAATCTGCAAGTGTTCTACATATTGTAGTCATTCACAGAGCTAAGCTGATAGAGATTTCATCTTGGATGTGCTTCCTTACGTACCACAGAAACGAGAAGGGAAAGTGGTTTAGTCACCTAGTCACTCTGAATGTCATCCTTTAAGTGACATGTGTCACAAACTGCCATGAAATATGAGAAATAGTAGAAGTGGACAAAATGCAATGAAGTTGTGAATCATACAGTGTTAAAAAGGAGACTATTGGTATAGTGAATATTTAATTACTATCAGGCCGATAGAGAATACCAATGTGGATTAGTAACCCTGCTAATGCTCACTGTATACAGTTCAAATATTACAGTAAAACCTAATTTACACTACTGACAGTAGTATCTAGCACAAGCCTAGAGTGTGAGCAAAAATATACAACCAGAAGTAATTGCACAGCTTGATAAAGCTTATTTATGAATGCCAAATATTTTCTCAGTTTGCTTACTCATAGCTAATTCAGCTATTAGACTATCTGTATCAGTGCTGGCCACCTAGCAGTCCTAGTTCCAGCTTGCTGATTTTCATAGGCCTTTTAGTAAGTAGCCATAAGACCATCAAATCATTTCTGAAATATTTTGTGGGAAATAGGATATAATTTACACTGTAGAGAATGAATGTGATCTGGTTTTTCTCAGTTTTTGACTAAGCTAAATGAATTCCATCTTTTCATTACAGTATCCTGAATTTTTACAGCTCTTTTTTTCTGTTTTTAACTATAATATCTCATTTATGCTAATTAGAGAGAGGGAAGAGAAATAAAATCTGTGAAGAACACTACTTAATAGTAACTCAAAAGTAGGAAACTAATTTTTTTTCTAGTCTGGTTTCTTGTCATTGAGCAACCTAAATTATCTTTTTATTTAAAAATATCTTGTCAAATATCTACTGTGTGCTCTGTGTTAAAGTAAGACATAACAGTGTGTTTTGCTCTTATGTCTTACCCCATTACTGTGATTCCAAATATGGGTTTTAATTTGGCTAGGTTCTTTTTATGTTTTACTTTGTTGTGGTCTTTTCCAGTCTTGGAAAGCTTCATTATGTTTTTCAATTTTTTCCAGGAGCGGGTGGAAAATTATTCTAATGTAAGTATCCATTCGAAGAATCCTGAAAACTGTTCCTGCCAGGCCTGTGGATTGCATCGCCATTGCAAATACTCGGTGCATTTATCAGGAAAGTTGTACAACACCAGGACTATGGAAACAGATGACTTCATGTCACATGATAAACAGGTATTTTTCCCTCTCATTTTAGTTTTCAGTATTTAGAAATTTTCAATACCTAGCTTGCACAAATAACCCTGTTATTTTTACAAATGGAGAAAGCACTAAGAGAAGTGAAAAGAGTACAAGGAAAGGTATACTTTTTGAATGAGAAAAATATGTCTAGCATAGGTCTATGGCAAATGCACTCCTAATTCAGATCCTAAACTTTGTGTAAGAACACATCACCCAACCTGTGGGGAGGGGGAAAGGGTGCAGGGTGAGAATGAAAAGAAATATAACCGGGGCAAGGGAAACAAAAGTCCCCTTTGTGTCCAAAGGAGAATTTAACCCAAGTGGAAAATTTTATGACAGATAATCTACCAAATTGACAGTCCCCCGTAAATTATTGAAGATGCCTGTCATCTTAATATGAGAATAGAAAGAAAACAATATTTTAGCCTAGAATATATCAGAAGTGTGTCAAATCTAGATAATTGACAAATACTTAAGGTGCTATTAATTTTTAATGAAAAAACAAAACTGAAGAAAATATTGGAAAATTTGAAGAAAAGTATTTGATAAAGCAGTATAGTATGAAGAGAGAAGTGCAGGTGTAGTCTATTTTTTAATCTTTATAAAAGTATTGCATTTATAAATGCAAAAATATTAATATTGAGCACTTCCTCTGGTGAGTGTGTATATCCATGAAGGGTGTGTGTGTTTGGGGCGGGGGGTTGGCTCTTAGAGTTGCCTCTAAATACTGCCAATCAGTTATTAAGCTATAAATAGATTATTAATCTAAATCCTTCTACTACATTGGGTAGTATGATTCCTTAGTACTAGTGGCAATAATTGACCAGATCCCTCTAAACAATCTGCAAGAATCACTTAGAAAGTTTACATGGGGATAATAAATTAAAAAATAGTTTTTAATGCATCATTTGGCAAGTTACTATAAAAATACATTTCTTTTTTCAACATAGTTAATATGCAAATCTCCACATTGTTTAAAAACTGATCTATGATTTTTTTATGAGGTAAGACACATAGACCCCTAATAAAAGTGATTTAGTACTTTAAGGATCATGTTCTATTGTATAAGCCAAAAATAGTGCTGTACATTCACTGTCTTTGATGTCTACAGCTAATCCTGGAAAGGGAAGTGAGTTAAAAAACCATTTCTGGAGTTCTGATATTCCTGTGAAAGGGTAAAGATTCTGTATAAAATAGTTATTCAAATATCTAAAAAATAAAAGCAAAGAACATTAATATACTAGTCACACAATGGAAAAACATCAAAGTTAATAAATATATTAGAAAATGATTATTCTCCACCTAAAGGTATACAATTAAAACCTACCTTAAAATGCAAGCTGATAGCTCTCAAAGTAACAAAGTATTTTAAATCAAATGATAAAATGCAGTTCTGTCATGGCTGCATTGAAACTAGCAGTTTCATGGATAGTAAGATTCCTAGAGATAAAAAGATTGGGATACATCTTCTTAGAATACTAGGTAACTACATATAGCCGGAATCATAAAACTATACATATTCAGTGCTGGTAAGTTTATGCTAGGCAAAGTAATGCGATAAAAGCAGATGACACAATCATGAAGTTCATTGAAGCATTTACCCTTTCTGTGAACACTTACTAAAAATGGTTTAGGCTTTTAAAATGTATCACATTTTGGGGAAAAATACTATGAGAGTATTCTAAAGGTAATCTTAGGTTTATTGATCTTCATTAGTCTAAATAGCTCCAAGAAGGTAGGAATTAGAAATGGAAAGAAGTAAACTATAATGTTAAATATTTTCAGTGGGTATTCTTGTTTTGTACAGGTAAACAAAAATTTAAATAAGGATTTTTAAATACCTCTCCTTCCTTCTTGCCCCAACTTAAAAATTTTATACAGATAAATTCCTCAGTTTTGTGGAAATAGAAAATACAGTGTGGTGGAAATTTTTTAAAACTATCTTATTCTTTACTGTACTTTATCCAGAACAACCATAGGAGACTTCTCCCACACAATCTACTTTGATGACAGAAATGGAGAGACAGAGGGTACCCCTAGTGGCCACTGCAACTATTGTGGTACCTTTTTCACTCAAAGTAAAAACAGAGGTATTGACAAGGGAATTGTTAGAGTTGATATAACTGGTCTGATGATGATGTTTAAATGGGAAGTTTATTAGGAGTAAACACGCAATGTACAATGATACCTGATTATTTCTAATCATCTGAAAAACAGAAAGGTTTTCATAGAACTTGAACAGAAATGTGAACATCATTTTCTTCAACTTTTGAGGATTTTTAAGAAAGATTATAAGCTGTCCCCAATACCATCTTTACAAGATGATGCATCAAACCTTACTGTTCCTGATCATATGTAACTTTTATTCAGTTTTTCTAATACAGTCCTCATTTTATTACTGTTTTTTTTGCCCATATACTCAGATTATTTATTGAACTCATCACCTCTGTGAACCCTTGCTGTGTGGCTTCAGAAAAGCAATACAGTTCTTTGCAGATTGTCACAGTACAAGTTACATAGATCAAAGCTGTAACTATACCACTTGTACTAAACTAATGAAAGCATAATCCATAAGTTAATTTAGGCACAGAGACAAATACATAATTTAACAAGGAGTTTGTCTATTTCCTCAGGTTACTCCATGAGAAGAAGATTGATCAAGTAATAATGTGTTTAGTTGTAATGTTTACTTTTCAGTTTTCCTATTTTAGTTATTAGTGTGTATAACAGAGTACATTCTGAAAGAGGAATGTTCTGGTTGGTTGATTTCACAAGAAAAGTATTCTTAATCATAAAATCCTGGAAGTCCATATAAATATAGAAATTAAAATTCTCCTAGTTTGCTAACAATAAAGTATTAATGTGTTATAATCGTATCAGAGTAACTAAGGAAACAAATATGACTTAAACACAAAGTTACCTTTTAATTGACAGAATTTTTTGGAAAAAATTATTTAGTGAAAAACTGCCAATATTGAGTATAACCATATACTTACAACTCTTATAACCATAAGAGTTTATTTCCATTTTACATGTTACTTCTAAGCTAGAAAAATATCATAATCCAGGCGTTTTTAACTCAGTAACTATGTACATACAATTGCTTGAATGCTTTTCTTGCTTTCAGGTATCCCCATCCTTCTGTGTTAAAAGCCATTTTTCTCCTCCTTCCAAACTTGGGTAGCTGTCTCCTGAAGACTCAGTTCAAGCATCACCTACTCAACAACTCTTCTCATCTCTGAATTGGTTAATTGTCCTTCCTCTCTACCTTGATAGCATCTCTTGCCCAGCATTTGACACATTGTTCTGTAATAATTTGTTTTTCTCCCAACACTGTAAGCTCCCCTAATACAAGTAGTACATCTTTACAGTGCTTAGCCCAGTACTTGAAACATAACAGATGCTCAGTTTTTTTTATCTAAGTTATATAATGAGAGAAGGTAAAAGAACTATTGTATAAACATTTTAAAAATTAATAATGCATTATTAGATTTTGCTAATATACAGCAAGAAAGGCTATATAATCATTACTATATTTTTTACTTCATTTGTCAGATAATAATGTTTATTCTTTGATTTAGGTGTTTACTGTTGGCAGAATTTGTGCTGAGCGTACCAGAATTTATCATAAACTGAAACATTTTAAGTTCAAACTGTACCAGGAATGTTGCTCCATTGCAAAGACAGAAGAAGTTGAAGACGAGCAGGTTAAAGAAACAGTGGAAAGAATTTTCAGTCAGTCAAAGGATAGTGGCTGGATTAAGGAGGTAAGGTGAATATAAAAGAATCATCTCCTTCATAGATTCTGGAGCCTAATTATGATCAGCGAAAGGATACAAATGACTAGAAGACATTAAATTTTAAAAGAGAATCTCTCCTTCCGCCCCCAACCCCGTCTTTGTATTTTCTCTTCTTCCACCCATTCCTTTCATGCTTATCATTGTCCAACCCTGAACAAGTGCCCTGATGTTCTAAGCATTCCTTCAGCTCATCAGATAAATTGAAATCAGCAATAATACCATTCTGTAATGAAGGGCCTCTGTCCTTTCACTTTTATATAAGTGGTATTCCTTACATATATATTTAGTCCCCTTATTTTCTTTGACGAAGTGTAGGACTCACCTCTGCTTGTCTGCTTCCTATTCTTTAGAACAGTTCTTGTGACCCGAGAGTGAAGAAGCACCTGGTGCCAATCTGAGGAAAGGATCTCGGCTGCCAGTTCTAATACCACCCACATCCTCTTCTTGAGGACATGGGCTGAGCAGTGAGCACTGTAACTGAAGATCAAGGGGAATGCAGAGGTTTCAGGCCACGGCACTGATTTTGATTCCCCCAAATCCTGTTGATCACTAAATTTGATATCAGGGATAAAGTGGGGGTTTTGAAGAGTGCACTGGATTCCCGAAGATCTGCTGGCAGCTCATAAGCTCTGGTCTGCTCACAGAGCTTTTAGAATTGCTTATGGTACTTGGAAAGAATGCTAATATGATTGCAATCTTCTAAAACAAGTCTAGTTACGTGAATGTATGAGAGAAAACATATAGTAGATTTGCAGGCAACTCAGATCAACAGTATATTTAATCTTAAAAAAAAAAAAAAGGCTGACTTAAGATCTGTTGCCTGGGTTATTTTTATCATAGGGAATTTGTAAAAGAGGAAGATAAAAAAGAAGAAAGCTTAGTGAATAAACTTATAAGCAAAGGGAAAGAAAAAGAGAACAAACAACAGGAACTTGTCAGGACATGTCATGTTCCGCAGAGGTCTCCCAGTCTGGACAGTGACATCAGAACTGGTTTCCCTCTGACAATTATCCTCCTACCACAAACCCCACCTGGTGATCTCTCTGCATCTCCCCCACCCAATCTGGACCTTTCTGTAGTCTTTCTCTCATTTTACTCTCCTCAGCTTTTTATATTTTACTTTGCTTCGACTTCTCTCCCAGTGCTTTCCTCCCTGTGCTTTTCTATTTGCTTTAGGGGGGAATCATTACTTATCCAGTAAGTCCCATCTTCATTTTCCATGATGACGTGAAATTCTTAGCTGCTTTTATTGGTGCATTTAAGGGTTGCCAACCCTCTAGTGGAGGTGAAAAACCTACTGGGACACCATTTTTTAAAGAATTGTGTACTAGGTATAGAAAAATCACTGTGCACATACTGTACATATTATGTAATAATAGTATATATTAAGATGAACATCAAACTTCTTGCAGAGAAAAACTAAAAACACTACTAGATCATGTACCTTAGAGAACGATTAACAGGGTTTCTAACAGCAGGGACCTGGAATAAGAAAAAAATATTCTTAGGAAGAGAAAAGTCAAGTGTTCTATTAAACTTCAAGAACAACACACAGCATTGGGCAGTTATTTCAAGTTCATGCATGTTTAGGACAATGTGCACATTTTTTTCCACATGTAATACCAAAGAGCTTCATTTTCTTTTTGGGATCCTTCCTGCTTTAAAAATACTTGTCTATGGATTTTCTCAAAAGATGTCCTAGAGACCAAAGTTTAGAGCCACTGTAAACCCACATGCAGCTTTCTGTGCTGTGATTAAAATTCAGAATTTATCAAGTGCTCTGACATTTCACAGCATCACTCCGCCTGCCCCTCAGTGTGAGTGTCCTTGTGTGACACCATTGCATGTGCTTGTGACACACATCTTCTTCTTTGGCTGTAGGCTCATGGTCATAGCTACCCTAACCCTTCTGAATGCCAGGGCTCAGTGCTGCTCCAGTGGCGCCATCTGTGGCCCTTTTTCCTCTTACTTCCTTATTATTATGTCAACCTATTATTTTACCTCATACAAACTATCTGGTCCTGGCTTTCCTCCTAGTTTGTTTTATACACCTTGCTTTTCCCCTTACCTGCTTCTCCCTCCTCCAAGTGTTTCTCTTCCATTGTCTCAGGATATCTCAGCATTTCTTCCCAAAGACCTGCCAACTGGACTGACTTCATTCTTTCTGTTCCTTCTCCTAACAGTTGAGCTAGGATGATCTGTTTTTAACTTAGGATGATGTTAAAGGGTAGGAGCTACTTGAGTGTAAGGAAGGAAAGAGTGATAAGAAAATTAAAGTAAAACCAAAACCTATAATAAATGTAATAAAAATAATTGTTTCATTCTAAATCAGACTGGAAGAACATGCTATCATATGCCACTGACAAAATTTTAACAGGTGTTCTTATTAAGAAGAAAGTGAATGTGATGATGGGATTTCCAGAAAAGTTGAAGATAGGGTTATTGGGATGGGGTGGTGAATATGTGAACACCAGGAAGTGGAGAAAGTAGGTCAATAAAAGTATCAAGTCTCAGTTTTACAATTGTATGTAAATTTTAAATGTATTACATAAAGATTGTTACATAAGAAAGAATTTTAAATAATGATTTGATATCCCATCCCTTCCTGAAACTCCTTATGCGGGCTCTTCTTCTTTCCCCCTTTAAAACTTCTTTCTTTTTTTTTTTCTTTCGTTTCTTAAACTGATGTTTCTCAAATTGTGGCTTTAACTACCTATGTCAGAATCACCTAGAAGTTTGTGGAAATTGTGTAGTTCCTAGCCTCATGACAGTCCTATTGAATGAGAATCCTTGGGTTAAACACCCAATATTTAACAAATTAGGTGATTCTTAAACAAATTGAAGATTGAGGGCCACTGCTTAAAGGCACATTGTCACTCAAGGTTCCCTTCTCAGTCTCTATATAGCTCTCTGCCTTGACAAACCCATTCCTTTCTTCATGTCTAACTGCTGTTTCTGAACAGAAGACCCCAAACTCCTTCTTTTATGTTCTGACCTCTTTTCTCACACTCATTTCCACAGTTCCAACTGTTTTAATCAGTAGGTCCATGCTGGCATTCGAAGGGGTTAACAGAATAAGATCGAAACTCTCCAGATTTTCAGTAAAAAAGAATGATGGAACCAGAATCTTTAGGTGGAGAGAATAACCAGGAAATACGGACTGCCTTCTGAGTTTCACTTTTCCTTTGAAGAGCTTTCTTTTTTCTTACTAAAGCTGACCCCACCTCACCCCCCTTTAAATCTCAGAAATAGCATACTATAATGGTTAAAAGCATGGATTTAAATATTTTCTAGGAGTAGAATTTGGAAGCAAGTTACTTTATTTCTCTAAGTTTTCTCTTCAGTAAAATGGAATTAAAACAATAATAGAGTTTTGATTGGGAAATTAAGTGATCAACACATTTTAAGCATTTAATACTGGACCTAGTGATTAGTAAGTGATCAGTTAATGTTAACTGTTATTAGTAATAAAAGCGAGGAGATGTTTCCTTCCTTTTCTTAGTATAGCTGGGATAGATTATAATTTTCCAAAAAAAAAATTTAATAAGAGAAAAAAGAAAGCATAAAAAAAGTCAAGCTTTTAAGGTCTAGGTTTCTAATTCTAGAGTACTTTACTTCTATCTAGTAGAACCTAAGTTCTTGGTCAAAAGAATCCCTAAGTAATCCAAAGGTTATTTCCCCTCCTGTTCTTTTCTTCATTCTTTCCAGAGAATGTGATCCCATCAGAGATCTTTGAGGAGAAAAAATTTCATGGCCCTGCCTAGAAGGAAAACACACTCCTCCTATACTTTTCCATAGGTTCCTATTACCACAAAAGTCAGGGTCATCAGGATCTCTCTTCTTCACTGGGAATGGAACAGAGTTCACAAGTAGAGAAACCATTAGGTCAGTTAATCTCCTCAACTGAAGTCAGCAGTTTGAACTTTCCAAATCATCTGTGGAATTTCCAAATCATCCTGACTCTTCTCTTACCTTGTCCTACCCTGGTCTTGACTCTTCATCTTCATTGGTCGTCACTTGAATTTGGAATCTCATTACCTAACTTATTACAATAGATTCATAACTAAATGCCAAACTATTCTAGAATGATGTTTTACCATTTTTCTTAAAATGCACCCCAGATCATGTCAATCTCTGCCTTAACACTTTAGCAGTTTCACATTGCCTGTCACATTATTGCTAAACTCCTTCACCTAGCATTTTATACTTTTTATTCTGTAACTACAACCTCTTTGGTTCAGTCTCATCTCTCTCCATTTCCCCCCAAACCCCTCAAATTATAGTCAAACCCCATACTTTCTTGCCTTTTTACTGTTGTTTGGACTGTTGCCCTTCTCCCACCAAATCTTTGCCAACCAAATCCTTTCTTCCATGACAGTTTAAGTGCTACTCTTTCCTGATCACCTCAACTAACCATGGCTATTCTTCTGAACCTCCATACAGTGTCTATATAGTTCTTTAAGGCACTTGTTATTGGTGTATTACCACTGAACTCTGGCCTCCTTAGGGACAGGGAAAGAAATTTTTTTGGTACCTAGACAGTCATCAGAAAGTATTCAATATATGTTTTATGTTCAACAAATTTTTGTTGAATAAGTTATTGAAGTTCTTATACTTCTATAAATATGATAATAGGAAAATTATATTTTATAAAAATATTATGAGATTAATAATAATGTTCAGCTTGATTTCTTTCCAATACTTTATGAGTTAGAAATGCTTATTTGAAATTGTGTCCCTGTTTATAAGATTTTTGTTCATGATTATCCTGAAAAGAGAAGTGAATGTGTTCCTGTTTGTGTCTATAGATTGAAAAGGCCTACCTTATCTTCTTTGCTTTGAGTAAAATAACTAGCTTTTTTATTATATACACAGAAATATGGTCAACTTCAAGAATATCTAAATTGGGCGGATTACTTTCAAGATGAGAAGTTTGACTGAATTGTAACACATTTCCTTCAGAGAAGATTTATATAAATTCCTGTAAATGTGAAGATCATGGGTCTTGTTTCTCTGTATCATGTGGCATATTTGTATATTTTGTGTGTATTTTCATGGCAAATATCTTGTTTAAAACATATATTCATCTTAATTTCCATGAAACGGCACTCTACAGTCAAATAAAAGTTTTATCTGCTGTACATAAAAACATTAGCCTAATAATTTTTAAGTAAGAGTATTTTAAAGTTATAAAACAATGCCTTTATAACAGATGATTATCAAGCAAATGAGCTGTTCATGTCCTGTCAGCTTAGTAGACAAATATTGTATTTTAAAAATGAATTCAGACTAACATCTATTTGTAGTTATTATTGAATCCCTACCCAGATGTTTTTATTATCCTTTCACAGTATTAAATGATCTGCACTGATATATTCTTTACTGCTGTCATTATCTAAATCAGTGGGCCATGGAAGAAATGTAATGTTTCATTCAGTTCAATCCCCTCATGTCAGAAGGAAGACTGTAGTTTACCCACTCTAAAGAGGAGTGCTTTTCTCCTTTTCTAAGGAGTCTTTCAACCCTCATATTCAGGATTAATTTCATGATATGTATTTTCATGCTTCATAATGTTCTTTCTATTTTTATTCAATTTGTCTACATTTAATGATTAAGATGTATTTTATTTATTTTTATACATAACCCTTCCCATATATATATTTATGTTAGGATCTGAAGACCTCAGACAAATTCAGCCAAAAATAGCTTAAAAGCGTACTTTGGCATTTGCGTTGCTTTGCACATCTAAATTTTCTCATAATATAATAAAGTGAAATGATATCCTGGTGACCAAATGGACCCTGTCTATTCTGTATCTTTAATTCTTAAAGGTAATATCATAGTAGGATCTATTTTTTGGTGCAATTTTAGATACTTGTTTCTGACCTCAAGTGTTGACTGAACCTGGCTTCAGTTGTTAGGCGGTTCATGCATGGAGTTCAGTGTATGTGCATATATAAAGAGCTACACTTCATTAAGTCCTTACATAGAGATTACTTAGTATTTGCTTCAATTTTCTGAAATTATCCCTATTCCTACTGTAAGCAAAACATGTGGAAAAAGCTCACAAAGTGCTGAGAATACGGATGCTGATGTTTCATGTGAGGAGTACATACCTTTTTGAAAAGTGTGAAATAGAAATTTCAGTCACATATCTCTATTCTTATTTCTCTGGCATATGGAAATAATCCCTAACTAAAATGAAGCCATAGTTGAGAGCTGAAGATGAAGTGACAGTGCCCAAAAAGAAGCAAGGCAGAACTCTGCAGGAAAAGTAATAGTCAAGTTGGAAAGGTGAAGGATCATGAATGACTTGTAGAAAGGAAGGCCACGGAAAATGAAAGTGAATGATCTGTAAAGTATCTCTAATGCCCCCAGGAGCATCACTTCTCAGATGCACGCGACACTGCAGACAAGCCCGAGAATGCTGAAGAGTGAGATTGCCTTCCACCTGGAGAGTTTTTTAAATTAATTTATGTATTGTTTTAAATATCATGCATTTAATTTGTAAAAATTAAGGCACTAATGATTAGAGGGACTTAATGATGGCAGCTGACCCAGTTCCTAGGCCAGGCATCTTGCTGGCATGAAGCATTTTTCCCACTGGAACAGCATTCTGACTGTTGATCAGGAAATGTAAAAGTAGTTTTGCTGATGTCTGCGGTTACTGCAACCAAGCAAACTTCATAAGTGGGTGTTTGAAAACTACAAGAGGCTTTTTAGGTATACGGTAACACCGAAAGAATGGCAGAGAGACAAGCTGTTAGGAAATGGAAATGAGCCTGGATTGGGGGGCCAAAAGCAAGTAGTCCATAATAAAATTGAAATGTTGAAAAAACTGAATTAACCTCGAACAGGTATTATGACATGCTGTATTATTTTATCATCGCCATAAGCATCAACATCATTGATTTGCTTTAACACCAAAAAATACTTTGTAAATTTAAAATCTTACATGTCTGTGAAGTGTTTAAATCTTGGCATTTATTACTGTGGTGTTAGGTGCTTTAGTGTTAAGTAGCCATGGTTAGGAGAGATGATCAGTCAAAAATGGACAAGTAAAAGGAATGCAATCCTTGAAAGAATTCATATGGCTACACAGAAACAAGTGTTAGAGAACAATACCATTAAAAGGAGGGGAGGGAAATGGGGAACAAAATAAATGTTTATTTTATTGGCAGTTGGATGTAATTGACCATGCTTTCTCACTTGTCTGCTCTTACCTTCAGATGGGTGGTTCTATTCACTACTCATTTCTTGGAGGCTTAGACTCTAGCAAGCTGATTAGAGTGTAATTGCAGCTTTGCGATATTGAGGCAGCAAGCCCAGTGGTTAAGAGAGCACAGGTTTGCCATCGGTGTTGAGGTAGAGCCCTGAGCTTTATTTCCTAGTCACATGAACTGGAACAAGGAGTTTAATTTCTGGGAGCCTCAGTTTCCTCACTTCTAAATGAGGTTAATAATACTTATCTTTCAAGACTGTGGATTAAGGGAGATCTATGTGAAGTGCTGTGCCTGAAACAGTGATTAAATAAATAGTAGCTGATGTGAATGGAAATGAGGATGTGCATGATAATGATTTCAGCTTGAATTTAATGGGCTGTAAAGGAAAAATGTATATAAAAGACACTCTAAAAAAAGTGACTTACACCACTGAATATAGTATGAAAATCTATTAAACTCCTGCTTGACGTGTTTTTAAGGTATGTCCCTGTCTAGCATGGAAATCAAAATTTGTATCAGAAAGGAACAGCGGATTTGACTAAGGATTCTGAGTTACTAATGAAAATCAATGCTATGGCATGACTGTCCAGTAAACAGTGTTTTAAATTTAAATGTTACATTTTCTCTTTTATCAAATATGATCGCTGAATATAAAGTACCCATATAATGGAAAATAATGTCTAGTGAGTACAACTTTTTAAAAAATCAAATGTAAAATGATCAAAACTTCAATTTTTAATGACACCTCATGAGAGAGTTCCTCATCAAATCTGCATACCTAACAAAAACAAATTCCTGCCTTTCCCCACGTAACTAGTGAGGAACTTAGCCTTGGAAAGGACAGAAGTTCCAATGAAAAGTAAAAAAAAAAAAAAAGAAGAAGTTACATTCCATCAGAGTATACTTGTCCCCAATTCCAAACAAATATCCTAGAACTTGTGAAAATAAAATGGACTAAAGCAGACCAGCCTATTGGGAACTAAATTGTAAATAAATCTAGTCTTAACCATGTTTCCATTGACTTTACCCATTCATTTCTTTCCATAGGTCAATTTGGAGAAGGGCCGTTTCACTGAGGTGGGAGAATTAGTTTAGATTAATGAAGTCCCATTGCTTGAGACCTCAAATCCAAATGACTTCGGAGTTAGGACACACAGCATGGTTATGGTCCTGACGATCCCAATTTTGTGCTCACCTAAACTTCTTGAAAACTCCACGGCTACATACGGAGTTTCCTCCATGCATATATAAACCAGATAGCCATGGATCTTGCAGTTACTTGTCATAAGTAATCTTGTATTTTCAAAGAAAAACCTTCATTTTCTTTTCTAGAACTGGGACCGGTGATTTCATCGTCATAAAATCTTTTATTTACCCCTGCTGAATTGCTTGTAATCACCCAAGCTGACTGACCCAAAGACGCACAGAACAGGCAGGCAGGTAGACAAACACTGGCCTCCCCTTTCCCGGTGGGCTAGCGATGTGATTTCCTCTGCGCACCG